AAACCAAACACAACCTCTACAGTTGGACGTACAAAACTAACAATAAAATTGGCTTCAGCTGTTCCATAAGGATGACAAATCTACTAAGGGAGTATGTTTCATCTATGGTTAAATCTTGACAACAAACTAAGGTAAGAAACCTGTTTTTTACTATCAATCTGAACCATATTCAACAACAAAGTTAGCTAAGGAAAAAGGAATTTATTACCTACCTATCATTAACTTAAGTTACAGTAATAATTAAGTTAATCCTACATAGGCCTAACTTATGGTAGGTATTTGCAAAATTTGTTTAAATTTTAATTATAAAATTTAACTGTCATAACCTAATCCAACCAACTAAACTTGATGATATAAAAAAGATACAAGATAAAACTCAAATAAATAAAGGTTTACCCTACTAGCCTAATAAAAAAAAAAAAAAAAAAAAAAAAAAAAAAAAAAAAACAGTTCTGTTCATAAAATAAAATTATAGGCTAAATGCTTCAAACTCTATGTAGGGAACAGTTAAGAAGTAAGTTTATTACATTCTAAGCAAAATCTTTGACAAAAGTTAATGTCACCGATGGGATTTGATCTGGATACCTCAAGGATATCAGTCGGGTAAGGGGTAAGTACACTAACCACTACGCAACGAACACCGATGACTTCTCTTCGTATCGTTGCGGTACTGATATTCCCTCAAGAGAAGAGAGTGACGTCACGTCCCCCACTCCTTCGCAAATAGGTTCTCACTTCTCATCGGTTCCTGACTAAGTTAACCCCCTGAAATGCTTCCCTGTTTTTGTGCAAGAACACCTAAGTTAAAACTAACTTAGGGTAACTTCATAAGTACTGTAAGTTACCAGTTATTTTGTTTTTATCTGTACCTAGGTTGATGCTTTATGTTAGCCCGATAACAGGGTTAGGTAAAGAAGTCTGGATTCGTCATTGTATAATAACTTTCATAGGTCTACTATCATACTATCAAGAGCTAGTGTAAACACCTCCAGTAGACATTGACATAGGCCTAGTAAGATGTTATCTTTGTTTATTTACCACTCTGTTAAACTGAATAAATAAACTAATGAGCATATTAGTGTAGTTAGGCTAGTTAGCTGTTTCAAAAGTAATAAACATTGAGAAGTAACCAGTGCATGTCAAACCGCCTGATTTCAAATAAGTCAGGTTAACCTCAAGCACCAATACAGGGTATTGTCTGTCAGGTGACTAACTAACTAAGGCTAAAATTACCTTCCATGGAGATAGTAGGGGATGTTTCACTGACAAAAGGATTAAAACAAGTGTTCTCTCACAAAATAACAAGTCAAAATCAAAGTAAGACAATTATAAAAGGCAATAATCCGCCGGCTTCTTCGCGGCTCCACACGTAAAGTAAAAGTAAACAACAGCCGCTGAGCCACTCCAGTCCAGTCCAGCTCAGCCAGAGCCACGACCTTCTAGTCGGAGGGGGAGGTGCAGATGTCGCGCATGCGCACAAGCTGTCACTGTTGTTATTTTCAAAGTAGCAGTAGCAGTTTTGAGAACCTATTGCGTTACTTCGCGTTCCCGGTCACTACACCTTGTAACGTTGTAACCGTTAACGGAGTTGCCACGCCTCACTCATTTCACTCAGTTTGACAGATATTTTGGGTTGTAAGTTTTGTTTTTGTTTCCTTTCACGTTTCACAACCTAACTTAGAACTTCGAGTTAAAGTTTGCACTACCGGTAACTTAAACCAAGGATGTGGATGAGTTATGTTAACTTCAATTAATTTTTAATATGGAATGTAAAACCTGTAATAAACTATTTTCTTCGGCGTATTCACTAAAAATATATTGCGAAGGTGACCAGAATTAGGACATTTTCGCCATAATAGACTCAGTGACCACTCTCTTTTCTAGATGAACTAAAATAATTTTAGATTATCATATTTACTAAAAGCCATTTAGAAATTATCATAATTACAACCACCCCTTCTTCTTTAGAGAGATTAGAATAATAAATGACAAAGCTTTCCATAATACTAACAATAACAATGTGTAGAAGAGTGGCTATGGGTATAACAGCTAGTGTGGTACGTGTAATACATCTAAAGCACAACAACTTTTAAATAGGCTAAATGCCGCCTTTTAGCCAACGATAACCGAGCCTAGTATTTTAGTTGGTATTTTAAATCTTATTTGTGTAGGTAGGCCTATTTATACCTACTCTTACTTTAGATAAGAATGCGGATATGTCTCTTAGCCATAATTTCTAGCCTAGTTTTTGGCTAGGCCTCTATTTGACCTAGGCCTACATTTTTAACATTCACGCAGATTAACGGATAGCTTTAAAGTAATAAAGGGTGTAAAAATGTATACCAACACGTCCTAATTAAAATTAGTAATATTAAAGGCCTAAACGAAAATAATAATAAAATCCACCATTAAATGGTTAGCAATATAATTCTAGCCTAGCCCTAGCTAGAAAGAAAGAGACCTATGCTTCACGGATTTAGTGCCAGTGCCAATGGTTTGGATTGGAGAACTTTACTACTTTTGGTTTTTAACCCCTAACCCTGCAAACAGCTATAACGGTTACACGGTGGCCGTGGAACGGAACCAAAAGTTAACTGTGCAAATAACAGTGACAGCAGAGCAGTGCTTGTGCGCATGCGCGACAGCTGCACCTCCCCCTTCGACTAGAAGGTCGTCCAGAGCCAAACTTAGAGTCTCAGTCCCAAATCCAGTTGACTTCATGAGAGTCCATACACTCATTTCAATTCGCTCCATTCGGGCAGCCGCTCCCGCTCCACTAAATTGTAATGCAAGGGATTTTCGATTCTTGTTATATTCAAATAATTATGACGATCTAGTATTCGATGAACTTTAAATGATAAAAAAATCCTGTATATTAAAGTATTTTTTTTATACTTTAAATGAACCATGACTATTCCCTATGTACGGATTGTGGTGAAGTCATCGAAGCTAAAACGTAAAAGATACTGTAGATGCAGACTGGTGTCCAAGAAAATGACCTACCGGTATATCAGAGGGTGCCATATCATAGCCACCTCCAAAGCACATTCTGTGTACTAGAGAAGGCTATGGTGCTATAGGGTTTTAACATTGACTCAATCAATGGTATTACGCACCGTACCGTACGATTAATATATACCGGTGCATGAATTTCACCGGAGGTGGTGACCGGTGAAGGAGACAACTAACTCATAGACAAGAGGAATATAGCAGTCTCCAAGGTAAACCCACTGGTCTCTTAGAACGACGCAATAATTGTTAGAAAGTAGGCCTACTCGGAATTTTTTCAAACAAAGCCCAAAGTATTTAAATTTCTACTCGTCCTTCCTTTGATTGGATATCCTTCCGCGTTTGTCACACAATTTCTATACTATTTAGCCAATTATACTCATTTTTACTATTTTACCTTTGCAAATGAAACTATTAAATGAAAAACAATACTAGTCCTCTGGTATTATAGCCACATATTAAACACTAAACTGTGTTAGTCTATGATAACACAACCCAAGAGTCGATGTAGTCAAATGCCACGAAAATAAAATGCATTCAGACTGGCTATGCATATGCAGGCTATATATATGATGAAAAATTAAAGTCCACTTTGGATTATAGTCAAAAAATCTAAATTACAAATTCCCATGTTATTCATATTGAGAAAACTGTAAGATGTTGTAGTTTTACTAGGCCTATTTTCATTAAAAATTATTAAAGTATTAAGTTTGCTTGTTTATGGATATACTACCCAGACAGCACACTTTATCCCAGGGACATCCCATAGTAGTCCCATATGTCCTGAGAATGTCCTGAGGACTACCTCGGATGTCCCACCGATATGCGGGGACATTATGCATTCCTGCGGATATCCTGGGATATCCCAGGTTGACAATAGGACTACTATATGGGATATCTTGCATATCCTGTCGCAATATCCGTGGCATGTCCTGAGCAAGTATACGTGGGATGCTATAGCAGAGTATCCGTCCTTTGGTCGGGGTTGGTATTTATAAGTATATACCAAACCGAATTTTAGTTAACCATGAGTAGTGCTTATTGCATTTATAATCACTGCAAACAATCCTACTTTGATAGTTATCATTGCATATCACAGTTTTTTTTGCTGCTTAGTTCAAATTAGCTGTTGTCATAAATGCAAAAAAAGTAATAGTCAGTGCTGCACCCTGTTAGTAAATAATATAACTTTTTAACGCTATTGCATATCATAGAACCAACTTAAATTCCTTTTAAATATGAATACTCATAAGGTTAACATGGGGAACAACAGAGCCACTGGGGTGGAGCCCGAAAGGATTTTTGAGATAAGAATAGGGTTAATCGGAAATGTGAGCCATCATCATGCCAAATTTCAGCCCAATCCGTCCAGTAATTAATGCGTGATTGAACTTCAAACAAACAAACTTTCAACAAACACACAAGCAAACACACAAACTTTCACATAATATTAAAAGTATGATGATGATGACGATGATAGTAAGATTTTTATCAAACTTGGCAATTTTTTTTATTTTTATACAAAGCTATTAATATTTTACCAAAAACACACTTTATTAGTTTCCTTGTTGCAGAAAACCTAGGTACTCGTTAAATCTAATGCCATTTAAATAGATTTAATTGAAAATAAAAATTCAGACAAATGGATATTCGCTTAGTTGGCAGGTTTGCTGCAGCGGGGTTACTTTACATTACTTCAGGCTATGCCTAGAGGTTTCAGAAATTAGGATAAGATCTGGTGGTAATTAGCGGGATTTGAACCTGGACCTCTGGGAGGGGGTCTTGCGATCAGCCACAAGACCAGCTCGCTCTCCTACACCGTACCTGAGTAGGGCCTATGCATTTCTCAAGATGGTCAATGATTCGACACTTATGTTGTATCCATATCCAAAGCAACCAGGATGTTCGAAATACTGATAATGTGTACATGTTTACAATTGACAAGTTTTTACAAAACAAATTCTTTATTTTTAAATGTACATAACAAGAGACTAAGGACGCATTGAAGGCTCCACATCGGGTATCTGGCGGTTGCGGACGACGAAACACCAAATCCTTAGGGTGAGGAAGTAAAATGCTTCTACGGCTGTGAGGAAGCTGAAGCCCATGAACAATCCGAGCAATCCTCCAGTGTTAGCTGTTACAGACCAACAGACCATCAAATTGTTAGGCATTTAAGGATTATAAATTAGCTTAGGGTTGTTATACTATACCCCACTTCTTTGTAGAGTTGGTTTTTTTCATGAATATCAATCTATATCTTATCAAGATAGTATAAACAAATGGAATGAATTTTATTGAATCCGTGTTTTTTAGAAATCAACAATATACTTATCCCAGACAAATTGAACTATACACTAAATCAAAATAACATAACTATGTAAGTGTCTGTACTAAATCACACAATTAAGAAGATACCTCCCCCAACGAAAGCAAATATGAGGCTTACATTTTTATAATTTAAATTCAATCCACCAAGGACAAAACAATTAGTTTTATTGTCTCACTCTACAGAAGGTTGTATGAAAATTACGCTACGTTGATGTTACGTTTCAGACCAGCAGGTCCGACTTGTACTAGCGATGAAGGTATAAGTATCTTTAGTCAACGACATTTCCTAAATCACTAAATAGGCCTACTAAATAGACATTGTCATTGAAGTGGGAATTGACTTTTATCAAACACACCTGCTTAAATGGGTTTAAATTGACTTTAAACTAATAATTAAATGACATAACTCATTTTGTATTACACCTTATAGTGTATCGACATTATAGAAACTAATTAAAATATTCTCCTACAAAATTATCTTCGTTTTGCCTCAGATGTAAAGTTTTAACCCTATCAAAATGTGCAATTTGCACAGGCCCCCTCGTTTATCCATTAATATGTAGCCACCACATAAAATCTTTGAAAAATATACAGTATTTCTAAAATTCTACATGAAATTGGTGATAAACTGCAAATCTCACCTAAAAAATCTGTTACAGTGTACAAGAGAGCTCGATGAATTGACGTGAAGTGGGCTTCAGCAAAATATACGTTCACGATGGCCATATTCTTGCTGGAAAACACTTGATAAGATCAAAAATCTTTACAAAAAAATCAGTTAAATATGGTTAAGCTGCTCTTCTCAATGAAAAAAATGTTAAAAAGAACCGCGTAACTCAAAATCATTATAAATTGAACCAATCGTGAGTACAGCAATTTAATTTCAGCTATTACTAAGACTTATGTAATTTAAACTTAAATGGAATTAATTTATTAACATCCAAAATAATTATAATGTCAATTAAAATCATTTCTCGTATTTTAGTGTGGATTTTATGACATGTATTTTACTGATAGGTTAAAAAAATGAACCATAGGACAAAATTATATAGGCTATTCATATAGGCTATATTATATAGGATATATAGGCTAGTGTATTGACATATAGTTTTTTTCAATTGGTTTTAAGAATTGTTAAACAAGAACAACACAGTGAACAACAAAAACTCCTTCACGAAACCCAGACGGACCTGGTCTTATAATTGACTTTAGTTGATCCTCAAGCATAAATGCTAAATCTACCAATTATTTTGTCATAGTACAAAAATACCAATCAATATGGAACTGAACAAAATTCAGCCCAAATTAGTCAAGGATGGGTGTGAAATCGAGTGAGAAGCCTCGTGTAGCTTTGTAATCACTATCCGGCTCCAGCTGTCGGTGAGACAAAAGTGGCAACGCCGCAGCCCAGGCCTACCGAGCACAGCTGGCAAACAGCTGTTACACTAATTCATAATGGAACTTCTGCGCTATAATGTTCACGCGTTTGTTATTACCATGGAAACAAGCTGGCCGGTGCGACGTTACCAAACACCAACACCGCGACCTTGTATTGGTGGAGGTTATTTTATGTCTTATTAAAGACCCAAGGATCAAATGAAAGTTGTTTATGGTTGAGTTCAGTCCACCATAATCAACTTACTGACTTTTCACAGCCCACCTAAAGTAAGTGGAGTTTTTGCCACCCATTATATTCTTAGGGATGAATGATGCTTTATCATTTAGTATGGTGGTAGACAGTCTCTTCCTGTAGGTCAAGGAGAAACATCCTGGGATACAGCCACAGCCTTTGGTAAAGTTTTCTCCCTCTAAAGAAGTGTACGGGTCTCCGTCGTCCACACTAGCCATCGAGTCTGAAATATACTCAAGTATAAAATAGCTTTACTTGAGATACACTTAAAGTAAAATATCATAGTAAAATCTGATAACAATCTGGATTAAAGTCCCATGTGGACAGAAACCACAGACGAAACCATCGATGTATATAGTGGGTTAACACCTTAAACAAGCTGTATATAGAGGGTGGTACTACTTAAACAAGATAATTCAGTTCTACTGACAATTCGGGAAGCCTGAAATTCAATTGAAAATTAAATCTAAACTTACCAACCTAAAGTATTTCCCCATACATTAATTATATATGATCAATAACCGAGAAAACAATATACAAAAACACAATTAAACTAAAACAAAACACACCTACCTTTATAATCCCAATGACACTAAAACTGGGACACTATAATTATTTGGTTATTAGAGTATAATTTAGATAATCATAAATCAAAACATGTTCATTGCTTTTATTTATTTATTTCTAGTAATGGTTTCCTTGTAAATTGATAGTTCATTATAACCTTAATTCAAGTGATTTTATTGTGCTTTGTACTTACTTAGAGCTTTTAAAGCACATTTCGATTCATTTCTGCCACACACCTTTACGGACTCGTCCCCTGAAAAAAAAACATGAAAGGTATTCGATATAAATTATTTATAATTATTAAAAGCTGCAGAGCTATTTTGTAACTTTGATAGTCTAAAATAAAAATATGATTACTTGGATTTACAGATGGAAACACTATTCAATCTTGTAAATGCTGCATGATTTGGATGCCAAGTTATGTAAATACTGTGCTAGTTTCTGGAGAGCTTACATACTTACACAAAGGAAACAGCCCATGTTAAAAACTTGCTCGTAAAATCTTTTAAATGTTTTAACGTTATGTTTTATAATTTATTTGATCACCAAAAATACGCATCGTTTAAATCCAAACAAATTGTGAACAAAACAAGGACACAAGAACCACACCAACTTTAAAACCAAACAAAAAATAATAGTATTGACAAAATGTGTCATGGCACAGAATAAAGAGGAAAAAATACCCTTATTTTCCAAGAAATCTCATTTTGGTCAAATAAAAATAGCAGTGGAAGATGTCTCGCGTTCAAAAAGCGAAAGATGCTAACTTTCTTTAAGAAGTGCAGATTTTTTATCTGCCCACCATTTTTCTTCAAACAACATTCTAACGATGATTATTAATGATTGGTTTATCATGGATAATTTCCAGACCATTGTTTGTACTGTCCCCTTACGCAATAAGGTAACCAACGGGTGGGGGGGGGGGGCAGTTTACAGATTTTCAACAGACATTTTAATTTGTTGTTTATTAAAACTTTTGGTGGAGCAAGTTCTTCTATTCATTGACAATCAAAGTTTAAGGACGCATTCTAATGATTAACGTCCCAGACTTAAGTGACTCTTGACCATGAGCAAGAGTTTAACCCCCATAGAATACCAAGGCAAAAATGTGGTTCGGATTCCACTATAAACTGATAGTCCCTTGCCTTTAGCTGTTTGGGCTATTAATTAACAGCTGTGTCTAAAGAATATGTCGGCCTTAGTCACTAACAAGACTACAAAATCGTGCCACTCATCCCAAACTCATCCTTCACACTTATAATAATACGCACATAATGGCGTCGCCATCTCAAAATAATTGATTGAATTGAATCCACAGATGATTTAAGGGTTTGGAGCTTTCCTTAAAAGTGAACAGCACTTACGTTGCAAACAAATCTTAAATAGAATATACCCTAACTAAAAGAGAGAGTACTTCTACTTTGAGAGATCTCCTTTTTCCTAGACAGTCGGACCTACAATTTAAAATGTGCTCCGACCTTCCAAACAACTATTATGCATCTGAAAACCATTGTTATTGGCGAGATTTTATCCCGTGCCTGAGGACAGAAATCTAAACCGACTAAACCACCAGTACCCCTTTTATCTAGTAATCTTACTGGACATGTAAAAGAAGACACAGCCACATGACTGCAGCGTGTTGTTTGTTTCACACTCCAGCATGCAGTTGCGGAAGGAATAGGTGCGGTAGAAGGCGAGGCTTTTCTCGTTGTGGAAGAGGCAGTTCCTCTTGTCCAAAGGCACGTTCTGCAGCTGCTCTCTACTGGACGTCCAGATGGCCGGTTCCACAACCACCCTCGTCTCATGTCCTGGTTGCACCGTGGAGGCATAGGCCTTCATCTTGGGCGTCTCCTTGGGGTTGTGCACTGCCAACTGAAAAGGAAGAATTATTGGGTGGTCAATCGTATTTTGGTATGCGGGAGGTATTCGTGGTGAGTTGTTGGCCAGGAATTTTATTTTGACCATGGAAGCTACTTTCAAGTTGAAGATAAGTCTACTAAATTGTGATACGTAAACTGAAACACTTCGAAAACTTTCACTTAGGTAATTAATAACTTGGTCAGCAAAGACTGAAGTGGAAACTAACGTCTTCATAATCATAAATTTCAAGATCGAGAGAGTTTCTTATCCAAAGCTGTTGGATTTGATACTGTTGACTTTCGATACAACTATACATTTAATTTATGTCGAAGTTAGTGATTTTTTTGCCTAAGTGAACTTAGTTGAATTTTAATTTATTTGATTTATCACCGACAGAGTTTGCCAATGGAAATTTCTAACTTTCGTCGAATACAACAAGCAAAATGGATGGACTCTATGTATTTGGCCAACTATAGCTTACTTTATCTTACATAAACTGTAATGGTAACAAAATGTTGGAGGGAAAATATAACTTAAATGTAACACACTCTGTAAGCGGCTCATCAGCCATACAGATACATTTTGTTTGGAAGGAAAAAAACTATAACTGGACTATAAATAAATAGTGATACCTACGTCAGGATCCAATAGTCGACTGGATAATAGAAAGGAATGTACAACCCAAATTACCTTGAACCCTACGCTGACCTCTGTGGAGCAGAAGAACTCGTCTAGTTCTGCATCCAGAACGACCTTAAGTCCCTTATGACTACCAGGACCCCATGGTCTCCAAGGCAGTGTGTAAGGCGGCGTCCCTTCGGGATATCCTTTCTCCATGGTCCAGTCGACAGAGTCAAACGGAACTGTGTGGTTGAGTCCAGTCCAGCCACTATGCAGAGAAACATCTTTATTCAGCACCAATTTGTTGATTTTATGAGGCAGGGCATTTCCTCCTCTATACAAGACCGCGGCGAGACAAAAGTGGCAACACCGCAGCCCCGGTCTACCGAAACAGCTGTGGAACTAATTCATTATTCTCCACATGTTTTCTGGTATTCAAGGTTTCCCTCTTTATGGTCCAATCAACGGAGTCAAACGGCACCGTTCCGTTTATAGTACAGTAAAAATATGTTTTGACCCAAAAAAAATTAGCACAACCGGGGAATTTGGTACAGATGTTGGGTGTACCTTCCTTTTGAACATACTAAAAGTCCCCTAAAATTGAAGCTGTGCTACGGCCGCCATATTGGAAAATGGCGGCATATTTCTGTATTTTTCGCTATAGTGACTTTATTATTAGAGATACAGGAAAAAGCTAAATGTACAAAATGTAGGTCATCTAAAAATACACATTTTTTGTATTTACCATCTTTCTCTAAACCCAACGGTTTTTGAGTTATTTGTTATTAAGTATATTTAGTTTTTTATATTTATCAAAAATAGGTGAAACACATGGAAATTGACCGTTACTTTCAAGGATTATGATAATTTATCCTATTTACTTAAATAGTGTGATACTATAAAATCTAAAAATTTAAGCTTATTTTATAAGTAAAACAACTCCGCCACAGCAAACCTGCAGACTCAGCAAATTTCCATTTGATTGGATGTTTTATTAAAAAATGTATATAAATAAAATTAGGTTCAACAGGTACCTAGGTTTGCTGCTACAGGTAGGTTATTATTGTGTTTTTTTTTTTTTAGTAAAATAGCAATACCTTACTATAAAATAACTAATTTTTCCAGGTTTGATCAAAATATATCTATAAACAAGCAAACTGCAACAGTTAACTAATTCATGTGAATAGCATGGGAGTTTTAAATTTACAATAAACAAATTTGAATATACAAATTTTGGTTGTGTTTACTAAAAAGATTAGAATATTAACCAAATGGGTTTTTAAAAGGAGATGGAGCCTGTTATTTAAGTTATATTAATTCGTACCAAGCACCGAAAATATTGTATGCAATAAGGTAATCTACCATATTTTGTAAAGTACGCAATAGTCATATTAATATTTTATCTTCATTTTTTACCCATTTAATAGTTAACATTTTAGTATTTTGATGGCACCACCACACTAACTAACTATACTTGACATCCCATTGTAAATTTGGAAGGGTGTTTTTCGTGTCTAGTTTATGTTGGTGACTAATTAAGTATGGTATAGTATAGTTAGTTTTATTTATCAAAAATCGGTGAATCCCATCGCAATCGACGGTTACTTTCAAGGTTTACGACAATCATTCATCCCACTTAGTTGATATCATAGTAGTAGTGCCATCACAATATTAAAATGTTAATTTATTAAATGGGTAAAAATGAGTATAAAATATTAAAATGACTATTGCGTAGTTTACAAAATATGGTTGATTTCCTCACTGCATACAATATTTACTTGGTACGAGTTAATATTTACAGTACTTAAATTACTTGCTTCATCTCCTTTTGAAAACTCCTTCGGTTAGTATTCGAATCGTGACGAATAATCGCCATATTTTTAGTAAACACAACCAAAATTTGTATATTTAAATTTGTAAATTGTAAATCTTAAGCTTCCATGCTATTATTATGAATTAGTTAACCGTTGCAGTTTGTTTGTTTATAGATTTATTATGATCAAACTTGGATGATTAATTATTTTATACTAAGTTATTGGTATTTTACAAAAAAAAAACACACTATAATAATCTACCTGTAGCAGCAAACCTAGGTACCTGTTGAATCTAATTTTATTTCAATACAATTAATAAAACATCCAATCAAATGGAAATTTGCTGAGTCTGCAGGTTTGCTGTGGCAGAGTTGTTTTACTCATAAAATAACCTTAAATTTTAAGATTTTATAGTACCTATCACACTATTTAACTAAATGGGATAAATTATCATAATCCTTGAAAGTAACGGTCAATTTCCATGTGTTTCACCTATTTTTGATAAATATAAAAAACTAAATATACTTAATAACAAATAACTCAAAAACCGTTGGGTTTAGAGAAAGATAGTAAATACAAAAAATGTGTATTTTTAGATGACCTACATTTTGTACATTTAGCTTTTTCCTGTATCTCTAATAATAAAGTCACTATAGCGAAAAATACAGAAATATGCCGCCATTTTCCAATATGGCGGCCGTAGCACAGCTTCAATTTTAGGGGACTTTTAGTATGTTCAAAAGGAAGGTACACCCAACATCTGTACCAAATTCCCCGGTTGTGCTAATTTTTTTTAGGTTTATGGAATTTTTCTCTTATTTTTACTGCACTATTAGACTAGTACACACATTGAAGGTACACTTCCTACATTTCTACATAGTATGATGAATCTTCATGAGCCAAATATTTTGAAAGCGTAATAAGCTTATCAAGTAAGGCATGTGAGCAAAGATGTATAAGAGGAAAATTTACGAGTACAATAATTGTTAATTATCATCCATTGAGGACGCCACCTATGTGCGTGTTTTAACCAAAAAGAGAGTTAAGGATGAGTTTATAATGGAGTGTGAGTAGCTTTGTTACTGACTTGATCAGCTGTTTCATTAGTCAGGATCGTATGGCTACAGTAATGAACTAGACGAAATATTAAAATGACCAAACCAAAACACGATTCTTCTTCAACTGTAAGGCCGGTATTGCACAATCATATTTCTATGACATATTATATTATCAAATATATGATAAAATGTTCTCTCAAGGAGAACGACCATAGTTCAAAACTATAATAATATTTGGTCCATTACATTGTAAAATTCTCTTATCAAAGACATCATTTGATAATAGATATATGTCATAGAACTATGATAGAGTAATACCGGCCTAAGAACCATTACAGGTGGTAAAACATCTATCCGTGCTAAAAACACGCCTCCATATTCTTGCTGCAGCTCTGAGAAATTCTACATAAAATCCCCTTGCGTCACCGAATATCAAACATACACAGCAGACTCAGATTTTACACCATTGGATACTACTTTATTTACGATCTATGGTTTGGTTACTAAATAATTTACTCATGTATATGCCTTACGCGTTGTTGAACAAGTATTCCTTCTTGACGACGTTGAATGCACAGCAGAAGCCATCGTCAGTCAGAGAAGGAGCAAACAGTTTGTTGCAGTTGAACTTCTCTCCGCGCCAAAAACACGCCACCATCATCTTGCTGCAGTTTTGAGAAACCTGTGAACACATGCATTATCACATACAAACTACTGATTAGTCAGTTCACTTTGAGTAAGTAGTGCCAGTACAAGTGTACTTCTTATAATATTGTGAAAGCTTATTTTGATGTGACGTTTGAGTAAATTGATCTATACTAGGGTCCACGAGAGTCTGCAGTTGGAGTCAGCCTATCACAAGACAGGCCTAGTGTGACGTTGCCATATCGCCTGACGACACTAATTAAATTATACTAAAAAATATTTTCAAGTCAGCTGATATAAGATATGGCATCAACGCGCGATCCTCATTGGCTCCTTTGAAGTCACGTGGTACACAGGCTTCTCCCTCAACTGCAGACTCTCGTGGACCTTACTGTAGACTAATATTGCGACCATTTAATGCACAATAAGCTTCGGTTGACGTGCCAGGACCCTGAGTAGACTTATTAATTGTTTCTATCTCTCTTAAGAAATAGGGTAATAAACGATTCAAGGATACCATTTTGCATGTACTACTTGAGGAAAAGCAGTAGTAAACACATTTTATCAATAATTAAAATTTTGTTAAAAATGTGTAATATCAACAAACAAATTGCAAGTCTATGTAGAGCACGTATTGTTGTCTACTATGTTCGTTTCCTGCTGTTTAAAAAAAAACTAATAAATACAAATTTTTAAATTTAAACTACAAATAAATATCTATTTACAATCAATTGCTAATTCTCTAGTAGTATTTTGTTATAGTGAAGTACAAGTTTAAAACCTCTACTAGGAGAGAAAATGTTGTCGACACCAGCACATTAAACGTTACCAGACTTAAAAATAATATCAAAACAGGCTTACAACTTTGGACTCTAAGAAGACGTCCTAAGAAGACATAAAAGTGCACGTACATTTAAAAGTGCACTCCATTGATTTACCTTTAACACGACTTACACTGACCCACAATAGTTATAGATATTTAAGTACAACGTTTTAGATTACCTAGAGCAGCCAATACACAAACAAAACAAGTCAAAGTAGTCGTCGATGAGTGGTTAAAAATAAAGCACTTAAACCTGCGAATTCTTAACCACAAATATAGTCGTAAATTATTTGTATTTTTAGAAAGAACACTCACTTTTAATCAAAGCATTCATATTACAGTATTTGATCGTAATACATTTATGTTAGTCGATTACATAAGATGTAAAAAGACATAAAAAGATTTGATTTTACAACTGCTTACTCTATGAACTACAGAGAGTAACTAACTACGCTAATGTCGTAGTTATTGTACCGTTGTTAACTTCATTAACGGATGCAACAGTTTGAACTGCCGTGGAAAATTTCGTATAATATCGTGTCAAATCGATTCTTCGAATGAATAGCCTCGTTAAGATCCATAGACTTGAGTACTGTGACTTCGGTAAGTGGTTCTTGCTGACAAGATTGGCCGTGTGAATAGTTTAAAGTGTTGGTCAGAAAATATAATTTGAAAATAAATTTCTTAAGTCACGGTCTTTGGAGAGTGAAAAACATATCTACAGAATTGTTTACGATTTGGCAGGGATTTTATGGAAGGAAGGCTCCAGGTTCTTATTCAACTTTTGCGTTTTTGAAGATATTGTTAAAAGTCCTTCCAGTCCCGCCAGCGGCATTGTACACGCCTGCAATTGATAGGCATCTATAATCGTTTTTGTGTTTTGTGTTATGTGTATAACTTGTTTTGTATAATGTGAATTATTCGAACGACACCTCAAGAAGTGGATCTTTTTGTAGGCCTGCCAATGGTGGAGTTTTAAAACCCGCCGAAGCATATATAGCAAGTTTTAAACGACACTACTAGTTAAGGGTTGCCTGACGAGGTGTTTTCCCGTTATTTGTCATAAAACGCAATCCTGGGGCTATAAAAAAGAATTTTAATCTCATTCACCCCACCTAACACCTTCATTCATCATTGCTTTACCATATTGTATCCTAATGTCATACATAAACTAAAAATCTCTTAAAAGCCCCTTGCACCCATCTTCACCTTAAACAGGAACTCCTGCACTGTTGCCCAGGGTATCTCGTTCTCGTTGATGGACACGTCCCGTGGATCCTGGGGGCGATGGCAGTAGTCGTTCAGCAGCTTTCGCTCAATAGATGCGGACCAAATCGTCGACCTACAACCAGGTCAAACCCGGGAAAGTTGTTAGTTATAATCCGGGATTGAGTCTACAATAAGTAGTTTATCCTCCAAATTACTTGTTAGTAGATGGCTGTAAATGTGTGATAGTATTTATGGTATTGTGAATCTTTCATCCGAACTCTTCTAAAGGCTAAGTCAAGAATGCATTGCTGTATTATTAAATGCTAACCTAGGATAGGAACTACAAAAAACCGGAAAGTTTTTACTTTTTACCGCACAAACCCATAGAGTTGAGAAAATGACAAATGAAACTAACTTTATTTAAATAGCTCCAACGGAAATATAGTACAAACTATTTTGCATGTAGTATTTTAATAAGCCATCCACTACTGATAGATCTAAATAATTAGTTAAATAAACTATCTTATTTCAAAGGTTTCACTCAACCTTGCATTTGAGGGGCCATTTTACCGACATGCCACTTGCTTGACAAGCCAGTTGACCGACATTTTAAATTAATTATGAGAAACAACTTTTTCGACACTTCATTGTTCTTCCACATGGTCAAAATGTAATTTATGCTTTTTAATCCAAATCGTAACAATAAGAAAACGTACAAACCTGTTAAGTATGTCTAGCGCCACACTTTTCCGGACCTTGTTGATGTTGCAGATGGTGACGGCTGGGAAGGGGATGTCCTTGAGATCAGTGGTTTGAGGAGACAGGGTGAGGATCACAGGACTGGTCACCCAATCGTAGCACATGTTTACGATGAAGTGTACAGCGAACGAGCCTGCTACGAGACAGGCGATCATCCAAAACCACCTGGAGAAGAGTTCCTTGACTATGGATAGAAAGTAATATTTTTTAAAAGGTTGGCGGCCTCTTTTAACCTTGAATTGTCCTGTCCTCATAGACTGCGGATCCGTGAGTGGAACCTCAGAGTAGATGTATTATTACTCTGAGGTGAAACGAATCCAGCAAAGCAAGGGGTGGCATTCACCTTCCAAAACCCAACCCTCGGCACGACTTTGAGAGGGGACAAGTAGAACTTGTCCCTAAAACCTTTAGGGAGTTTGTTTAGTCTATGGTGGAACTTAAATCAAATTTCTTATAAAAAACGGTGTTTTATGAGATAACACGTGGGAAAATGGCCATGGGGATACTGATGTATATTTTAGTATTCCAAATTCAATGATTGTTGTCTTAGGTTGGATATTTGAAAAATTTAAATCCGAATTGATTATTTTATTTACTGATTTTAAGACCTGTTTTAAACGGATTGATGTATTAAAAAGCGAGTTCGATGTATAGACATTTTAATAAGAGTTAAGAGCAGATTAAATAGTTTAGAGTTTTTTTTAATTTGGACTCAAAAACTTGGTGTTAAATATTTTAATAATACTACAACAATAGACAATAGACACACGCCTTTATTTGTGTTTAAGTTTATGTATTGGATTCATAGTCTTAATTTTGAGAAAATTTACATAAGATGTTTTATTCAAATAATACGAAGGTGATCTATAACTAAGACAGAGAGAGAGAGAGCTGTATGTTCTTTATCTGTATGCGCTCATTTAGAATTACTTAAATGTTATCAAGACGACTGCATAATTAGCATAACAATAAGGTTAACTAAACCGCTATTATAACGTTCAGTTTATTCTGTGTGTGTTTTAGTTCAAATGCACTAACACGCACTACATAATTACCACGACCATTTTAAACCCCGCAAAACCTCAAAGACTAATCAGAAAATAGTATATTACTACACAAGGGTGTAAAATGACTATTATCGACACGAATTTAAGTTTTACGATCGCCAAGGTCGGAAATCGAGCAAGGGTTGAAAATGCACTTTTTGCCTGTGTAATGAACCATCATCACAACAATATTTGAAAAAAAGGGTTAGAAAACGAAAATACTTTTCATATAAAGCTTATCACTGAAACGATTTCTAACTCGTTTTTTAATCATGTTTTTAAGTGACCAAATACTGTACAATGAATAGTCTTTTAATATTTCACCGTCGGGATGGACGTAAATAATGCTATTTAAGGACCTGAGACTATTAAACCTTGTAATTGTTTCGGGGTTATAAGAGGGTAAGTTAAGATACTTCAATCAAACAATAATGTTTTTTTCATTACGACGTTTTTTAGGGAAATCTTAAAGCTAAAATAAATGAAGAATTTTGTACCCTCGCATTTTTAAGAAATAACTGAAAGGCTTGCTTGGACACATAATTTTTTGTATTTAAAATGTATTTGATTTTATCGGCTATTGAGCTTTAAGTGGATGGTCCAAATTAAAACAGCTGATCTCAATAAAGCTATCGCCTAATTCACTGAACACTCATCTTCACAATACACATCCTATCAGCGTCATGTAGTGTAAATACAAGCTAGTAGAAAAAGCTAAATTACCTTTCCAATCTGGATATGCTAGTGTCACTGATATATCGTAGGCCGTGTAGCGAAGCTTGCTGGGTAAAGTCATGCGAAGCTTGTTTCAGACATATACAATTGTAGTCGTGAGTCTCCCAAGAACGTGGCCATTTCGGCGCCGCACCGACATTGGTCGCCATGGCACTGCGAGGCTAAATGTAACGCTTGAGCCTGCCTTTTGTCATTACAATGCTCCCTACCATCCAGCATTCACAGAGATGTCTCGCCAACTACGTTTATTTGCAACCTTCTTGTTCGATGCACCAAGGTAATTACTGTGTGATGAGTTTAACCGACTTTAGGGGATAATTGACGTACGATGATTAATCATTTATAAAGAAAACCCCTCAATAGATATTTCCCTATAAGTTAGCCAAAAGACTGTTTCCTGATTAATAAAAAGTCATATGTTTTTTCAATTGTTTTTTTTAAAACAGATAATAGTTTAATGTGTTGTTGTTTGATGAATGGAATAAAGATTATGGTTTTTGTTAACATTTATCTTGTCATTTCCAATGTAACGAAGTAATCGTCCGTGGTATCAAATTAATTGAATCACGTATATTGACGATTTTACGATTTGTACAAAGTTCACATGAAAACCATTCATTCTGAAATCTATTTTTTCTAAACAATCTATACCTCAACTGGACGAGAAGAATTTCCTGTCTTGTAACATTTTGGTAGCCAGATCTAATATTATATTTTAGTGGCAAAGTATCATATCAACCTTTTACAATTCTCATAAAAATTACTTTATTTCGATCTTAACTATAATTCAACTATTACTGTTGTTCCTCCGCCTGTGCTTCGAAACAGGGGTTAGAATAGAAGAGAATAGCTTGGTTCTTTAAATCTACTGGAAAGCAGTTACACATCCGTTGCAGTTTATAGATACAAAGCTCAATCGTACGTATTGCTTATTATGATAAGGATATCTAATTATAGAAAATCTAAGTCAAGAATCAAAAGTTTAACTTCAGAAGTAAGTGAACAAAAATTTTTTGACATACTGCAGGAAAAAAAACAGCAGTTTTAGCGAATTTCCCTATAGGGAAGTATCTATTACCGTAGGTGGCATGGTAAGACCTAGGCCCGGGACCGATTTACTTTTTCATTTTGATGTCCCTAGAGGCCAAAAACACCATTCCTTCAAATTTTTATATATGTATATATATATATATATTTATATATATTGTATATATATCATATATATATCACATATATATATATCACATATATATATATATGTGTGTCCGTAAACACGATAACTTAAGTAATTTTTGTCCGATTTTGATGAAATTTGGTTTGAAGGTGTAAGGCGGGATAAACTTGAATGAGTTCGTGAACCAGCATGATCGGACCATGGGAACAGGGTTTTACGGGGGGTTTTATGGGGTAAAAATTGGTTTTTCTAATTTTTTACCCTCTAAACACAAAATTTCCCAATTTCTCTCCGGGCGTTTTTAAAGAGCTTAAAAAAAGAAATAATTTAGTATATCAAAGTGTTTTTGTACAATTATTGGTTACGGAAAAAATTCAAAAAAATGTTATTTTAAAATTCCCATGTTATTTTTATGGAGAATATTGTAAAATGTTGTAGTTATTGAATATATTTCGATCAAACTTGGTAAATTTGTTTATTTTATACATAGTTATTCATATTTTACTAAAAACACACTTTTTTACCCTCCCTGTAGCACCATGCCTAGGTACTCATAAAACCTAATGTAAATTAAATAGGCTACATTCAATTGAAAATAAATTCAGGCAAATGGAAATTCGCTTAGTCGGCAGGTTTGCTGCGGCGGGGGTATTTAATACAATGTTGGTCTAAAGTGTATGTGTTCATTTTCCCTAGGGAGTAAAAAGCGTAATAGACTAACACTAACACAATCGTAACAGACTAAATAATTGAATCGCTTACTAAACAACTGCTTGTTTGCATTAACAAAATTGAAAACCTGTTAAAAATTGTTTTGAGAGGCTATATATATTTACAAGTATTTTTGTTTTGTATCTTAGTTTGCTTAAATAATGGTGCAACATGACGAAAAATATAGATCTTCACACGAGCAAAATGTGTCTTTTAAACCCTCGCTCATTTTCCGACCTCGGCCGAGAAATATGAGCTCGGGTAGAAAAGAGCCTCTTTCGTCCTAGTGATGAAGTATACTATTAAGTAAGCACAAACGTAACAGCTGACACATATTCAATATTTTTAATTAATTACATACAACTTTTTAATTAAGGGGGGTCGTGCTCTTAGGAGAAGATTTATTGGGAAAATTAATAATTTTCGGAAATGTTTCGCATAAAGACCTTTCATTCACATGTGGTTGATAGGTGTACGGCTTACAGGTTTTTAAACATTTCGTGAACCTTAATAGTTTTATTTATAGATTTAATTTCGTCACCTTTTATAATCGGTTTCCTCACAACTACAACCCTATATCTACATAAAAAAATCAAAAAATCTACAAAAACATTAAGGTAAAAATCACGGGACATTTTAATAATACAGGTTTTATTCTATATTTACATACATAAAGAATCACATTTTGTTGATGACGCACTTCTTATAATAGGTTTACATAATCTAAAATGTAACATTACCTTAATGTTATAAAGCGTGATACGCTACTGCTCTGTTTAGAATCTAGCTATAGTTAGTATTGCGTGTGGCGAGTGCATTATGGGAATGATGACGTGTTCGCTCTTGAGCAAATACTCCAGGCTGATCAGCTGGAAAACAAAACCAGCTGTGTGTTCGTCGATGGACACCTCCATATTTTTTTTTTTTAGAATTTAGGGAAAAGTAATTTACAGTATGGTTGCATAATTTGTTTTTTTTTACATATTTTAGTTGTTTAAAGATGTCTTATTATGTATATATCAGTTAATTCAAATCTCTTGTACTCTTTAGTTTCTGTTGTAACATTTTTGGTACCTAGTTGTTTGGATTCGAATCACTAGGTTATGATTGAAATTGAAATCAAGCCTCAAAGCTGAAGTCAAATGCTCACTCAACTTTGTGATGCATGTTTCAGAAAATGTTTATTAGTTTTAAGCTCATGAATTATTAATGTTGACACTATGCCTTTTGTAAATGAACGAATTCCATACATCTTTTTTCCGTGGTGCGAATTAGATTGGGTTACGGTATATCTTTATTCAATGTTTATTAAGCTGTGATTTAATTCCAAATAATTTCCTTAGTAAAATTCTAAAATACACAAACTTAATTGATTTTTCCTTGTTATTCTTTGTTGTTTGTTGTTTAATTTTTCTTTTCTTTTAATTTTTCAAAATTAATTAATTTTTTTCTCATAAATATATTTGATTTGAAGTAATCTTTTAAGTATACAAATAAAAACTAACACCAATGATTTTGTTATACCTGTCGTAAAGTGTTGTTCAATTCGTGTAATAGTTAATCAACAAAATTATGAACATATTTACTGATTTATGTAGTGGAAGTTGGCTATATCTCAGAAAAAAACAGGTTTAAGTTTTTAATTAAAAAAAAACTGTACACTTTAAATTTCCAGTCAGATCTAAATGAGTTTTTTTAGCTGCTTCATGATGAGCCACGAGAAACTATATAAATAAATTAAATATGTGTCTTTTTAATAACTAAAAATAAATTGTTTACACTATAACAGCTAGAGTTTTTAGATTTAAGTTCACATAAGAAAAGAAGTAGTTAAAATTGTTATTAGTTTAAAATAAACACTGAAATTTGCCATAGTCTTTTAATGATTACAAGACAATTTTAATATTTGGTTTTACAATTTATTTGTTACAGTATTATTTGATTGTTGGTCATTTAACCTTTCTGTGAGCTCTCTTTCAAAACAATAATTATGTTTGGTTGGTTGCAATTTATATATTTTCTGAATTCATTAATTTATCTTATAATCTTTGATTATCAATACAACTATTGGATACTTCAGTATCCAATAGTCAATGTTATAATATTGACTTTGTAACAAAGTAACCTTGATAGTAATTGACTTTGAATATCAGCACAAAATGTATGACTGTAGCCCACATTTTATCATGTTTCATATGCATACAAATCGGTTATGTAAAAGTCATAGAGTATGAGGTCTGACTATTTAAAAATTTTAGTTTCTTAAAATGGAAGAAAAAATATTAATACTATTTTTATTGACAAGATAAAGAAAAAATTATTATTTTTAACTCGTCAATTCACTAATATGTTTTCATTTATTTATTTAATTAATTGTAATAATTATGAGCAGTTGTAATGGAGGAACACTTTTAATTTGACATTTTAAAAAGTTGTAACCCTTCAAGTATATATACAATTCCTCTGTTCCTACAGCGATTAGGTTAATGTACATGGAAGTAGAATAAGGCAATCTATTTGAATAAAAAAATATTTAAATATTACAATATTGGCTTGTTAAGCTGTAGTAAGTAAAACAATAGTAGTTTAATAGCTTTATAGGTTGAACGCTTAAAAATAAGAAATTAATAATTGTTTATCAATTATTTATAGTTAATTTGAATCATGGTGTACAAAATTCTATAGCTAAAGAAGTTCGATTGCCACAAAGTTTTTGGTTTTATATTACTTCATTTAGGCAACTTATATCCTAAAATGTGGGTTGCAATGTTCTTTTTGATACAACAATTAAAACCCTCTTAATATTTCACAGGGGTTCCTTTGCGCATCAAAGTCATACAATTAAATTTAATCATTGAAATAAAAATACACGTAATTAGAAATCCGTGACAAACGTTTAGCTTTTTTTGAAAATGGCAAATCTTTAATTTTTATACAAAAAATTTCCATGAAAATCGTTTTCTCGCACAGCTTGGATTTCTGAAATCAAATTGAGCTATTTTACTGTGTAACAGATGTTGTAGTTATTTTGTTTATTTAATTCTACACCAATAAGTCAAGATTAAGGAGGCAGTTTCTAAAATAATTTACACAATGAGTCAGTTCATCTAACCAACACACACCCAGGTTTGCCCTCAAGTACAACGTTATCGTCTAGCACCCTCTCTCAGTAACACTTCATGATGATTAAAATACTTTGAGCCTTAACTAAACCAAAGAAAGATAAGTCGGTTGATCGAACTATGCCTCATCTAACGGCCTAAGCCTATCTGTTCGTATCTATACTTTCCCCTAAGTTGAGGAAGCACAAAAATATCATTTTGTTTTCGAATAATTTATTAAAAACAATGTCATATTTACAGAATCGGTTTGCTGCTCCGGCGTCAAATCGTCTACAAAAGTCCAACATTATAAAGAAAGTACGCCACTTAACTAATCTCGCCTAACTTACGCTAGAACATAAACCTATACACATCGAACTGTATAATTATACAATCCGTTTAGAATTTGTTTGTAGAGTATTTAAACACAACCGATTTAAGTATTTGACCCGACTCTGGGCTGGGGTAAATTATATCTAGCTAACTAGTAAATAACATTCAAAATCAACTAGGACACTTGAGAATTTGAAATCAGGTTACATTTTACTTTAGGGGTCGGAAGGTGAGTCTATCCCACGAGGGTAAGGAAAACAGCTTAGTAAGCCGTACTTAACAAAATCACAGCTTTTCAACATATCTTACAAACTTATTGTTGAGCTTAGATCAGCTGATTACTACAACAAACTTATAATGAAACAGTGCACGAAATGCAATGACACAGACGGGTTGCTATTTAATAGAATGGTTGTTTGTGCAAATTTTAAATAAATATGGTCTACCATGGTCTCTTTTAATACAAGGCCGTGGCGTGACAAAAGTGGCAACACCGCAGCCCCGGCCTACCGAAACAGCTGAAGCCTAAGTTTCTGCGCAATGTTTGGCACCGGCCGCTGCGACGTTGCCATACACCAACGCCGCGGCCTTGTATTAGAGGAGGCTATGCTATGGTTGTTTCTCTTCTGTACTAACAGTTACATTATGATACATTATAATTTAAGTTATTAAGTTAAAGGTGGCTTAACCTTGATTTGGTTAAATGTAACAACATGTTTTCTATGTTATCTTTGCTTATTAACAACAAATTGACTGTTTTTTCTATCTGTTGACATTGCACTTAGTGCGAACAAAATATTTTGTATTTACCAAATCTATGACTACTAAACAAATGGTGACTCAAATAAGGTTGGGGCTTATGTAAACTTCAATCATTTGTTGTGTGGCAAATCTATCAAACAATAGTTAGTATCTATTTTTGTTAAGGTCAACATTTGTATTGTCCTTCTAGCTGGCACAAGGTACTTTAATTTTAAAGTTGTTTTATAAATGATTTAACTATAGCAGTATATTTTCGATCACTATAGATAACATATTTAAAGTAATTATTACTTATAACATTCTTACATAGTAACACATAATTTTAACATACCTGAGAATATTGGTCTAGCTTAATTGTTTTCACTTTTTACAGTTTATTGGTAGCCCTTACAATCGTCATAAAATTGATACATCAATAGAAACAATGGTTTATGGTTAAGTTTTAAAATAAATGGAATTTATCGGTGGATAGTGCTATTTCTGCGTTATCAACATAGATAGACATAGTTTAGTATAGTTTTAATTAACCATACACTTTACTTCAGCCAATACAATGTGTTTTTTACAACAATGATCTTTGCGCAACTGTTTTGCAATGTACAATTAAATTAAAAGACCCGATTTGAAGCCTCCATAAACCCCAGAAGATGGTACGTTTGAAAAAGTAGTGTATAAAACAGTGGTCCCTACCAATACAACATAGGGAGGAGGGGAGGGGGGCTGCGCAGTAACTGAGCCCCGCCACTGCGCAGCCGTGCACGGCTACCAACCTAATTTGCATTGATGTAAAAATATCTCTACGTACATCTGTATATACATGTATGCACAAGGTGACATCGGTTCGTGCACACTTAAACTAGTCTTTACTTTAGAATACGTTCGTATAAATACATTACATTACAGTATGTATATATGTATATTGTATAATATATATTGTGAGAACTGTTTATATAGGCGAGTTAAGAATTCTGTGCAGTGACCCTTTGCGGTAATTCTTCTTTCTGTGCTATTATTTATATGTATATAAAGACGAAGTTAAAAGATATCGGGTGATCTATATATTTGATTAGACGCTATCCTGCTTCGATTTATACGTTAGTTAACCTTTTGTACATCTTATTTGTTAACGTATAAACTAAGACTTTTTAATTACTAAAGTTATAATTATGTAATATTAGAGTAAAGTATAAAAACTTCCAACACAGCGATCTCGAACGATAAAATATTTTACAACAGGTCAACACTGTATTTAATACGTAGACTATGAACAGATAAAACCGCCATCAAGTAGGCTATAATAATTTCAATAACCCTATCTGTGGTAACTATTTACTAACGCGTCTAACGGAATAGTAATCTTTACAATAAAACTTTTTAAATCACAGAGAGTTTCAAATGAGGTGGTAACGCTATAAATAACCTTCAACACAGATAAAATACGATACGTAACTACACAATCGTCTAACGATTACCGAATAAAACCTTTTTAAACTATATAATTTGATTTGAGCTTTTGTAACACGAATAGACCTCTCATCAGCATTTTAGTAACCGTCTGTACTCGACAGAAAATATACAACGTCTCTTTGATTCCGGTAACAAAATAATTTTACTTTTCTACTGGATGGACATGTTTCTATAGTGTACATCGTACCTCCGAAACTCGTAGTTCTACACGAAAGAAAAAAATATTGAGCAACTGCTAGATCGAATGCAGTATCTTTTGCAGTATCGCTTTCCATCGGAATATGTACACGTTATATAAGTCATATAAAATATACAAAACCAAATTACTAACCCGAGTGTTTAGTTTGAGATCTAGATCTAAACCTAGCTATAGACTAACTATCGGTATTTTACAAGTGGTGAAATCATAAGAAAGCCTTTTAAACCGACAGTCGATCCACAAACGAGAAACAATACTGAACTCAAAGTGCGTAAATTATTATCCTCTTTGTCGAGAGTGTAAGTTGAGCTGAATTCGACCGTAAAACCTTTAAAACGTAGTCTTTGTTCGACGACAGTCGCTTATTTGTCCTCTTCTAGAAGCACCAGGTCATCGGCGACCACGTCACTTATGTGAAGATAGATGATCCAGTACATTAGGTTAAAACACACGAAACAGACGGGGAACACGATCCGCGAGTACTTGTCTATATCGCTGGGAGTGACTCCGTACAGCTTGTTGATGTCTTTCCCCGGGTGTATGAGGTGCTGCGGTGCCGGGGCCTCCTCGTCTGCTCTCCCGTTGATGGTGTTCTCTAACGTCCCGCCCTTGAAGTGGGCCTTGGGGTCATGCACTTTGAACCGCACCTCCTGGAACAGTAGTGACAAATATCATGGAAAAACTTTCGTCAAGAAGAGGGTTTTTTATGTCCCACCTGCATCCTACATCCTTCATTTTACATTTTACATCCTAGAACTGTTTTACGCATTACTTCAGGCTAGTCCTAGAGGATCGTGTCATCAAGGAGATAAAATCCATTGGTCATTGGTGGCAGTTGAACCCGGGACCTCAGACTCCGAAGCCCCGTCAACCACTTGACCAGCTCGCTCCCCACGTCAAGGATTAAAAAATATGAACAACGGATGTATAAAATAAGAAACAAAAGCTGATACATTCAATGATAAAAGTGGATACCACATATAGGTGATACCACATAAATCCTTAGGTATTTCATGGGATAGATTAGAGGAAAGATTAGAGATTGAGTTTAGACTAGGTGTCTCTATTACACTAGTCAAGATAAATTTAACTGAGTTTTATGCACAGAGAAGGTAAGGTATAGAGGAAACACTCTTATGGGACAAGTGTCCATAATATGTTTTGTGGGAAATATACTTGTGGTGAGCAAACAAGAGCCCGAACGGCGAGTATTGTGCGGTAATTCCTGTAGCACAGGGCACATTGCCTTCCTCCACCTTGAGGTTGTAGTACATGATGGCTAGGAGCGGTGTTGGACTTTTCCCTAGTCCCCTTACTTTTCTGTTGTTAATGATTGCATTACTGTTATATAAGAATCTGTTTACTTCCAAAACAAAATATGTGTAACTTACAGCGCATGTTTTGGAGTTGTGTCGCAGGGTTGATGCGACGCTCACAGTCTGTTTGGGGAGTGTGGGGTGATCTGAGGGGTCTCCAGGCACAGGGGGGTGCGGCCCCTCCAACCCTTGTTTCGAATTTTTCTCTGCGATCTTCTGAATCGCCAGGAACCTATTCTTCCGCATCTGTATCCTCTTGGCCATGTACCCCACTGTTGCGTACTCTGCAAAAACATTCTCGTATAAGATAGACCTGTTGATTAGTTGGAAGCTCCAAAATTCCGTTTTATAAACTTAAACAATAACTAAAATCTAAAAAGAAACTATGAATTTTGTAAAATTTTAAAATCTAGTTTCTACACCATATTTAGGGACTGTTACAGAATTGCTTGCTTTTTTCAAGAAATTCCCTTTTTGCGAGCCATTTTTGGCAATTTTACATTTTACCCTGATATGAACGATATTGGTGACCATAGCAACAACCTCAATCATAAACCAGTAAGACGCTGAAATACAGGCATTTTGCCAAACACAGAAAACATAAATTATTAAATAATTCACTTAAATTCAAGCCTCACTATTAAATTCAAGCTATTAAAATTCAAGTTTTGACTCATATTTCTTGATGTTTTCCATTTTTGATTCTGATGAAACTGCAATTTCATAGACTGAAATCTCATTTTATTGTTGCAAAACGATTGACGTCAGTTACACTGTCGCTAAAAATTCCATGGAAAATCGTTTACAAGCAGTAAAAGATACCACTTTTGCACCACTTTTGGGAGGACAGAAGACGAGAAAAATAATGTTTGAAAAGGGATGAGTAATATTGTAAACAGGCCATATAGTACATCGCAGATGATTGTGGGGTTGTAACAAAGCCATGAGGCAATGAGATGGTTCCTACTTTCAGTTGTATCTCTAGCTCAGTGAAAGTAACCGATTATTTCCGTAGATGCCAGCTGTTTTTTACACATGATGAAACAGCACACCAATTCCTTAGACCCAGCAATTTTCTTTTGCTTCAGGGGTGAAAAGAACTTCCCCTGCTACACATCTAACCGTATCCACTGCCTGGCAAAATCCACTCACCTAACAGTGACGCGAACACCATGACGAAACACGTGCCCAGGTACACGTCGATGGACTTGACGTAGGATATCTTAGGCAGCGCGGCGTTGGTGGATGACATGAGGGTGGTCATGGTCAACACAGTGGTGACGCCAAGGGCCACTCTGGCAGGGGTGGCGTTCCGGTTCAGCCAGAAGCTGACCCAGGAGATGATGACGATCAGGCCAGAGGGGATGTAGATCTGGATCAGGTAGTAGCCCATCGACCTGACGAACTGTATCTCGCACGCCAGACGGGAGTAGTTACCTAGAGCAGTGTTAGTGAGGTTAGGGGGTTGGATAGGTCTTGGAAATTTAGAGGGAACTCATGGCGTCATTGTGGATTACATATAGTGCCTATTGAGGCTGCTCTGTAGGCTTTCTGCAGATTTGACTATCTCACAGATATGTTAAAGTTTCTATTGGCTGGTTAATGTTTCGACTATGATACACATACGAAAAAGACTATCCAAATTCAATACCTGAATAAAATGTAAGCATTATTGTGAACAACCCCAAAAGATGGAGGGATTGCATTGTATTGAGATAAAGCACGTGGGGGGTTCTACCTAGTTCTGTAAAGTTAAGTTCATAAGTTTAGCCAGTGCTAGATTGAAGAGTGACCTAATTGAAGTGGGACTCTGACCATGGATGCACTATAAAAGATACCATAAATGTCTCGTTCCTTTGTTTGATTCATAGCCAGTTTCAGAAAAAATATAATCGAACGTAGCCTCAATAGAATATCCATTTCAATAAAATTATTATACGATTCACTTACAATATGACCTGTGTACTATTTAATACATATTTAAAAAATACAAATACATGCTAAACAGATTAAATCCTAACAAAATTATTTATTTTAGTATACTTCCTTGGTGCCGGTAACTACGTGTCTCTAAGCCTGTTCAATTTATAGTATGCAACGTAAATATGGCTATCAACAATATACTTATCTAATGCAGTGACTATAAAACTGCTAAATATGTTAAAACAAATATTTCCTAGCTTTATTCGTAGTAAAATATTTTTAAGGAAGACCCCTTTCTACAAGGGGATACAGCTTGTTTAGTGGTTGAAACTACTGTACCATTCAAGTCTCCCAACCAACAATTACATTTAGTTTAATGACAATACGTTACCTGGTGGATCAACGCTTTCCATAAGTCCACTTATTTGAACAATAGGGCATTTCAGAATTTTTCTGTGGTTTCAGTGGTCCCACCACTAAAAGCTAGGCAAAGACTCTGGTAGGCAAGCGCAACTGATAACTATGGAGCTTCGCAATCAGTCGGCAAGCACTTTTACTTCATTAATATTCAAACTCACGTAATTGATAGATTACCAAAACAAAATGACACTGGGTAATTGTGGCCAGGTCGGGTTAACCTGATTTGTTCGTGTTCGTCCGGTGTAAGTGAATTACTGTAATTGTGGCTACGGTATCATATACGATCGTACCACTCAAATCCAACTGTATACGAGCTAGTTGTAGCCCAGAGTGTAATCATGTAAGTTGCACACAAGTAGAATATAAAACAAAATTAATTCAAGTTCTCTTTATTCATGTACAGTGCAAATACCATAGTAAAAAAATAAAGAATGTTCATAAAGAATAGTGTCAAAATAAATATAATGTTGTATTTTTCCTTAGCAAAATTATTATGTTTGGAAAAAACATAAGCTTGTAGAACAAGTAAAACAAAATGAAATCGTTTTTCATTAAATTTACTTTACATTTCTTAAATTACAAAATTCATACAATGAATAAAGCAATGAAAGTAGGTATTCTTTCAGTTTTTTTACATCAAAACTACTTTCCTCTAATATATGTTTAGGTAAACTAAATAATAACTTGTTGCCAATTAAACTAGGCTACTTTTCTTTACAAAAAACTTTAATTTAAGTGGTTCATCTTGCCTGGTAGAAGTTAATTTATAGTGCTAAATGTTTGTATTATTAGTTTGGAGTTTTAATTTGTTTACATGTCTTATTGTTTCTTAAATGTACAAGTCGCAGACTGTCATAACACATAACTAAGAAAAAAAATTGTTTAACTGATTAAAATTTTTTTTTTAAATTAAGTGTTTTTAAAAATTTTATTAATTCCTCTTTTTACAGGTTGGTACTATTTTGGTAAGTTTTAATTTACAAAGAAAGATATGAGTTACGCTTGTATGTGTGAAAGGATGTAAAAACATGGAAAAACATTTAAACCATTTAAGTTGTAACAACTACTCAGTAATGTGAAATAAATATGGTTTATGAAACATGTATACATTATCTCTCCAAGTTAGAAAATGGATACACTTTGTAGTGAGGATTTCGAATGTTTAAAACGAAATGCATCTATCAGGAACTTTTGATCTATTATGAAAAATAATACAAAATACTCGTATATACATCCATGTTACCTTAAAGGTAAAGTGTGTGAATTGGAAAAATAATTTTATAATCATATTCAGATATTTATGAGAACAATTTGGTAAAGTTTTCCTTTATAGAATGTTTTGTATATAAATGGTTTTCCTGGTGTAAAAAAAAAGAAAAATGGAAAGCTATTTTACCAGTTCAAGTACTCATGATACCAACTAAACCTTATTAATTTGCTCATTTAAATCTCTTGTGTAAAGTAAATACACACATCTTTTAGAATTGTATACAAAGTCATCAAACTGTCAGCATCAGAATTTTCCTTACAGTTCGTCAAATGTTCTGCAATCTTGAAACAGTATACCCTAACAAATTGAATAATAAGTAAGTATTCCGATTGTTTCATTGATCCTGTAACTGAAGAGGTTCGAAATAAAAGTAAATTAACACTCGCAGTTGTTATCGGTCCGCCGATGAGGAAGGTTGTCTTATCTTCAGTGAGCTTCCTTATCTAATTGCCGGCTTTAGCCTGCCCAGTTAGCCTGACTACTTATTTAAACTTCATTACTTTACTATACTTCGTATAAACTTTTTACTTTTTTTATTTAACTATATTTTTGTGGCGGACGTGTTATCGGACATGCCTGTAAATTGTGATAAGTGCGGTGGTGATTTGTCAAACTCCAAATCCATCATCGCTAAATGTGCAGAATGCAACGTGCAGCGACATGGCGCGTGTGCTGGTGCCGGGAGTTCTAGTAAAGTGCGCAATAGAACATGGAAGTGTGAACTGTGTCTCGGAGAATCCATCTCAACGCACAGCGACGTTGCTACGGACACGAATAAAAATATCGCACAACTACTTCAGTCCATGAAGACGGAAATTATTGGCGAGTTTCGCACTGAACTCAGAGCACTGAAGGAAGAGTGCATGAAGAATAATGCACGACTCGACACCGTGGAGGATGAACAGGCAGTATTGAAGAGTAAGTGCGAATCTTTAGAGAAGTCTAACTCTGAGCTGTGTGGCATGGTCCGCGACCTGCAGCAACAAATACGCGACAATGACCAACGCTAATTTGGAGATACAGGGGATACCTGTGACACCTCGAGAGGACATCATGGTGGTACTGGGGCGATTGGCTGCTGTGCTCCAGCTTCCCTTCACACCTGAGGACATCTCTGTAGCCCACAGACTCAGACTGTATTCGGACAAACTTAGTGAACCACCAATAATAGTCCAGTTCATTTCTCGCACGGTCAGGGAGAAGTGGCTAATCGCAGCGAGGAAGAAGAAGGGAATTGACACCACTGAGTTATCTACTGCACTACGTCCAGGCCCAGTGTATGTTAACGATCATCTCACGAGCTTCAATAAAAAACTCCTGGGACGCGCCAGACGTCTCCTGCGAGAGAAGAAGCTGAGCTCCGCCGGATACTTCAACGGCAAGGTGCTGGTGAAGAAGACGCCTGAAGACGCCGCCACCAGGGTGTTTGAGATGACTGACCTGGACGTGTATGACACCCATCTAGAGATCGATGATGACACCAAGTCTACGCCCTCGCCTACGCAAACCAAGCAGTGACTCTCCACCTCTACAGTTTCCGCCATCAACTAATATGTATGTTGTAACATTATTTCTCCTCTACAATAGATAGTTTACAATTTTTTAAATTACATTTTTCTATAACCATTATATTCTTGTGACATTGTTATCAGCATCCAAAAATATAAAAGGTTCTAAATATATTAAATCAGTATAATTATGAATTTTCTATGTTACACATTTTTATCTTTTAATTGATCCGTTCTCTCATGCCAACACACGTATATTCACAATTATTTAAATTTAGTGAATTATGTAATTCTTTAAATTTTTTTTTACTAAAACTTAAAACGGTGAAATTTAAATCGTAAACCTTTTGTAGCTTAAAATTGTAATAATTTAATGTTCTTGCATAGAAATTATCCAAAAGTTTATTTAAGAGCTTCTGCATAAACTAATTACTCGAATCAAATATTGCTTATAATACAAAATACACATTAATAGCTAAGTAATGTAGTATAGCGTAGTTATGTTCCAACATTGCAGGTATGGTTACACTTATCCATTTGAAATTTATAATTTCATATTTTAATAGCAAAAAAAAAATTGTTTTTACATTACAAGAGAAATATTTTATTTCATTATTTTTCTTCCTCTAATGTTAATTGCAGTTATCATCTAAAGTTCCAGTTATTTGTAGCCAAGTTAAATATTTTTCCTACGAAGTATGTACCTATTTGTAATAATCTTCTATTGTATTCTTGATTGGAATTTTATAAACTATCTAACTAGGCCGATTGAAAATATTAAAATTTCATTAAAAGTATTTTTTCTCCTTTGAATAATTTTTATCCTGTAATCATACCAACCATTTTGCAGTATTAATTAATTATTATTATGATAAATGTTCTAAGATAAATTTAGTCCATAGTACAATTTTTGAAATCTTTGAAATTATTGTGGAAGTTGTTATACTAAAGTAATTTTGCTCCTTAATCAATTTTTCTCCTATATTTTCAATTTTGAAGTTATCTATCATTGTACTTGTAAAATTTTATTACAGTGAAGGTATTGTTTTGTTTTTGATAAGGCTTCTTTATTTTGAAACAGCAACTTAATATTTTATTCTCATGCTAGTTTTTAGTGGTATAGTGTTATAGTTGTATCAACGGTTGACTGGGCAGGTGACTGGGGCTTGGCCGATGCAATTTTTTAATAACTGTGATGATGACGGCGACGGCGACTTCCATTGTCTTGAGCTACATTCCACAGATCAATACATTAATTTTTTTAATTCTCATTTAAAGAGCCTGAAAATATTTCACAATAACATTAGAAGCTTTTC